CTGTGTTCAACAACTTTGTCCTTGGGCAGCATTGCACGTGCTGTGAAGAGATACGTATGGTAATTATCTCAACAAAGTGAATTCCCATCTGTTATCAGTCTCTTCTAGGAAGACAATGAATCTCTGGAAGGAGCAAGAGAATTTTACATGTAATTGGATTATAATACAAATAATACCTGTTACAGCTGGCAGAATAACTGAATTAATTTATGCCCTGATTAGGTCGTCCAACCCAATCTTCAAACCTGTGTTGAAAATAACTTCATGTTTATAAATTTTTATGGAAGAAGATCATACATGGAAAGGAATTGCTTTGGTGTCACTCCTTCTAGCTTTCAAGTTGTCTTCCCAGCCTTGCTAAATGCTGCCCCTGAAGTGGATTTCTTCCAGAACGTTGTGAACTGCATGGTACTAGACTCTGCCGGGGCACACACAGCAGGGTTAGCCAACAGATAACTTCTAAGGACAACCACTTGCCTGATCTTTCAGTCTTGTTTAATGGAGATTTAGAATGAAAATATGTTCAAAGAGGGCATCATGCAGACTGATATCTATAACTCTGCTATTCTCTGAAAATCCTGATTAGGGTGACAGTGACTTGTGAAGCTTTATGAAGCTTTTTACAGTTTTTGTTACCTCTCTATTATTATCCTGGAAAGTAAATAGTTACATATTGGATAACCATATGGATGATGTGTTGGTATATTTTAAGAAGATTGCTCAGATGGCTCGGAGCCCACAGTGGCAGTGCCAGGATTTTTATGTACTGAAGATCTAAACAAATAACTGAAAGACGGAGGGGACAATCGCTGAAAGGAAGAGGGAGCAATAAAACTTAGAGCTCACCTTTAGCATTGGTGATGGGGATCAAGGCTGTGGGAGAAGTGTAGCATGGCTTCTTGTAGTGCAGTTGCTCCATCTCCCAGTTACGTTCCCTGTTTGAGCAGCGTAGGTGGCTGTTCCTGGTTTCTGTTCCCAGCACTATGCTGCCAGTGCTGCTGCTGCATGCTCCTGCCTCAGTGGTTCAGCTGAACTTCCCAGGAGGAGGTAGTGGAGACTCAGATTGAACTTTTCACTACAAGTCTGTACAAACCCCATTTTTTGATTTACTATGACCATTTTGTTGATAACAGGGCCATTGAATAATCTGACGTTGTTTTTCATTAGGACTGATGTTGAGTGGTGGAAGGAAGAAAGGAGGCAGAAAGAAAGGTGTGGGGAAAAGTACAAAGAAAATTCTTGAGGTATTGAGTAATTCCATAATGATGGTATCTGTTACCATTTTTGTTCAGTGTTTGAATACTGCTTATGCATATTAGCAATCTGTTTGAGTGAGAAAGGACCCTGTCAACCCAGTCCACTCACCGTGCTGTAAATGTAACCTTGGTGAAGGAAAGGAACTGTTTGAAACACTGATATCTTTTAGTCAGGATTTATCATGATCTGTAAATCACGTAATTCTTATAACAAGAAGCCTTCAGATGTTTTAAACCTTGGCAATTTTTCATCCATCAAGGAGATTTGAGAAAGACCAAGGCAGCAAGTGTTCTCTCAGACTAGACAGAGTGGGCTGTTGTATATCAGGAGCTGCATTTCCTATTTTGCTGCTTCTGCCAGAAATTCTTTTGTCAGAAACTTTGTCATTTGAGCTTTTATCTGTTTTGAGGGGAAGGAAGTTAAACATCCCAGTTAACATCACCATCACTGCAACAGTAATTCTGCAGACAGTGGAAGACTATGGAAAACTGATAACTGCACACAAATGCCTAATTTCCCCTGGCCGCAATGAGGAGAGAGAGAATTGTCAGCTCCATTTTACAGTGGGGAGATACTTCAGTACAGGTCTGTGCTTTTAATATTATTATTTTTTTAATTTTATTTTTTTTAATTTGTTAATTTTAATTTTTAATATTAAATATTAACCTGTGGATAATTCTGAATAAGCCAGGGTGGCAAGTATATTAGTTCCATGTCTGTTACTACTTTTTGCTGTATTGCTACATATACAGTTAACTGTCACAACTAATGCTGTTTTCTGTTACTGAATCTTCCTCTTTGAGAGAGCAAGAGTACAGGTCAGATTTCTCAGGAACTTTTTAAAAATTATTTTTAGTGCATTCACAAAGTTTCCCAAGAAGTTTGGATACAAGAATTAAAACCTTGCCTTCTTTAACCTCAATAGGTATGAACAAACCATCTGGGTTTCAGTGGGAAAGCTCTTGCATGCATTTGAGTGGAGAATTTGACCAAGAGTCAAGAAAGAAAGCTGGAAGTTTCAATATATATGAGACAGGCTATTTTTAATTTTATTTTTATTTTTAATTTTATTTTTATTTTTATTTTTATTTTTATTTTTATTTATTTATTTTTATTTTTATTTTTATTTACCACGTGATAACAGTGTTTCTGACTTCTGAGTTCCCTACTCTTCGGACAGTCTATTGTTAACAGAGTATTTGAATGTCAGTGTGGAGCTCAGCTTGCTGAGGGTTAGTGTGCAGCATTCAGCAGTCGGAGATCTCTCTCATTTGTTGCTAGTCCTATCAAGAACTACTACTGTGGTGAATGGCAGCATTCCAGACTGCATCTCAGTCACATGGATTATTCTTTCAAGCAATGCTTGTCTGGGGAAAAGACTATTTGGGGCTTGAATTTGAAGGGCCTTTCACAGTTTTGGTGTACTCAGCTGAGAAGAACAATCAATACTTTATGCATGTGTAGCTGCTGAAAGTGTTTAATATGTTTGCTCTCTGAGAAGAGTCCATGCCTGGGGTGAAAGTGACATAAAACACATCTCCTTTTTTTTTCCCTATTTTTTTTTCCCCCCAAATTAAGGTTTATGTGCTAATAACTTCATGGCAGTGACAACTAAAATGCATATTATCTTTGATGTACCTGTATTGTGGCCATCTTTGAAAGTGCCTAGCACCTGTCTGAAGATTTTATGACATTCATGCAGTAGTGGTGCTAGTAGTGGCAGTAGTGTGGGCTGTTGTGGAACAGGAAGGTTCAGTAGGGATGAAACAGAGACTTCCTGAAGGAGATGGAGCACTGGAAGACAAACAGAAAGCTGTTAACGCAATATAGCTGTCACTTCAAACATGTGGAGAACATGTGGTCAAATGCCTTTTGCATTTGCATTTTTGCATTCTTTGTTATGTTGAGAACACTTGTTCCTATCAAACAGAGTCTTGCAGGCACTGATACTACTTTTCAGCCCCCTAATTCACAGTACTTTTACTCACATATGCATATAATCCAAATAATTTAAGCACAAAAATCCTGTGCAGAAAGGATTTTATTCAAACAAAACAAAATAAACCACAACCCCCTCTGATGTTAATGCTCCAAAGGAAACCCAAGTATCTCCTGGGATTAATGAGTAGGTGGGAGGAGTTCATTGCCTCAGGCATAGCCAAGGGCCATTAATTCCGGCTAGTCATTAATCCTCATGTAATGCCCTATGCTAATGCCACAGTTCCTGTTACAACACAGAAATAGAATTGACTGACCTATGGATTTGGATGGGTTATGTTATTCTTATAATGATTGCTTATATTTCTAAATGCTTATCACTATAGTGTTGGACAGAGTTTCAGTTTATAAGCTTCATGTCTTTCCAGAGAGTTAATGCATTGTGCATTACTCATATGGAAGCCTGAAATGGTGGTGTTAGTATTCCATTCTGTCCTAGCCTTTAAATAAATATTGAAGCAGTCTTGGTAGAGAAAAAATTGGTATCAATATCCTCTAAGGATGATTAGCATACATATTCTCATATTTAGAGAAAATGAAAATTGAACATATAACTCCTTTACTCTGTGGTTTCCATGTAAGGCTAAGTGCAGTTTAAATTGCATTCATTTTAGTTGTTTGCTTGATTAAAAAAAAAAAAAAGCTCCTGAAATTTTAATGAAATAATTTCAGTACCCAAAGAAATAGTGATAAAGGACAGACTAGTTATAAACTATTTAGATGCAGCTGCCATCACATGCCCTTTACATGTGTGCTCATACACTCGGCGCTATACAATAAAAGTATTGCTGGGTAGATCTTAAAATGCAGGAGAAAAAAGTTCAAGGGCAAGCCCCCAGCTTAGCAGATCATGTGAACACACATGACTCTAAGCAGCACGGAACTTAGCTAGAAAACAGCAGCTGTAAGAAATGTCAGAATGCTAGAGTTGTATCTCTGTTTAAATTCTCCTAAAATGTTTTTTCTCAAGAAGAAGGTTATTAACTTGACCTTTACATAGAGTCCTTCTTTGTCAGGGATGCCAAAGCACTTTACAGATGCAGAGATTGAGTATTGACATGCATATGTCAGAAGGAAAGCTCACTGCATAGTGATAGCACAGAGCTTTGGAAATGCAGAAGTACAACTACAGATGGGCTTGACTACCACGTACTCTGAAAAACCATACAGCAGTACTGCATAGCAGCTCAGGTCGGGAAGTGTGGGATACTTTACTCAGCTGAAAATATAGGTGAGTTAACAAAGTTAGACTGTACGAGAACACTGGTGAACTTTTTAAAAAGAGTAGAAGCTGAGCTTTCTATAATAAGCACTTGTGGTGAAGACATAGATTGTATTGCTGAAACATGAAATTCCTGTACTACATTGGTTCCAAGAAAGAGGGTATGGGATTGTATGGGGGCGGATTTAGGATAAATAACCACTTCCTACAGTGCTGTCAGTGCTCATTATTTACCCAGCTGGGCCTTGTTTAGTTTATGAATTCAAAGTTGATCATAGCAGAGCATGTTGGAGCATGTTAGAGTGAAAGAGAAGGATGAGGATAGACTGTCTCTTGTTATACCAGAATTGCTTGAAATTTATAGAAGTTGTATTCAAACTTTAAAAAGGATGTTATGAAAACAGGTTTGTGTTCATGTACATGTGTGTGTGTATATATATATATATATATATATATTCTTTTTTCCTCGTTGTGAAATTTCATTGACACTTGTGTTCATCTCACACACAGAGGGAAAAGAGCCTTGAGCTCTTTCGTTTTACAAAGCCTCGCTGGAATTCTCTTCCATTCAGTGGTGATGGCCAGTTCTAACATTACAGCAACTTGCCTTGAAAACCAGCATTTTCAAGACAGGCATTTTTCAGTGTTATACATTATTCATTTTCCTTCCTTTGGTTTTCTTTGCTGTTAGTTTCTTTTGCCACTGTGCAGGAGGAGGAGAGATGAGGGAAGGAGGAGGTGGTAGCACTCTTCCTCTGCTCACTGTCCATTTTCCCCCTTTTCCCTGGCTCAGAATGAATTTTGTACTGTTTACAGAGCTGTCAGAAACAAGGGGTGGGAGGAAGGAAGAGGAGGGGAGGACAAAGTGAGAATGGGAGGAAACCTTTGCTCTCTGATGTCACTGTAAGTCAAACATGCAGCCATTCACCCTTCTGACAGTTACTGTAATATAAATTAGGCTGTTTTAGGGCATGATGAGGATTTCCTCTTTCACAACTGGGAGTTAGCTAATAGTCTTCGTTTAATTCCTCTGTGAATTAGGAATTTTTAAAATCTTAAATAGAGTGAAAACTAATCCCTTGGAGTCTGTACTTGCCAGTGCTGAGCTGAGATGATCCTGGTGTTCCACAAAGGTGTGGGTGAGGTTTTGTCCAATACTCTGCATTGGCCTAAGCAGATCCACGGAGGATTGTACTATCTGACAGCGTGTGCATGGTACTGAAAAGTTTGTACGGAAATAGGGGAACACATCTTTTTCCCAGGAACTTGAGAGTAGTTTTCTTTACCTTTTTCTTATAAGATCTCATGCTGGTTTATCATCCATGGGGTCTGGAGTATTCCAGACTTCTGTTTCAAAGGTTGTTCTATGGATAGGAGCATCTGAAACCGAATGGAGATTTTGTGGAGGTCTGTGCAGACCTAGCTCAGTAGCGTTTAGTGTGTGTTGGATATGAACAGTTGGAGGGCTGCAATACCAGTACATACAGAAACAACTGGAAACCACTGGGTTAAACCCTTCCAAAGATGGCAGTGACTTCTGGAACACTTCAGACATGGAGCAGAGAGGGACCAGCAGTCCTTGTGTGTTGTTTCCAAAGAGACATGTCACTGCAGTTTGATGCTGACTTTTTACTATTTGAATATATCTGGTTTGAGTTTCCTTTTCCTTTGAAAGGACTTCCAAATATTTTTAAACTTCCTTCCTGATGTTTGTCTTTTTTCCAGATTCCAAAATTAGATCAAGTCACATTTCCTCATGGAACTTCGGGTGCAAGGAAGCACTGAGCTTTTGCAGCCCCTAGTCTGAAGTTGCCTGCTCCAGTAGATGACCTGCGCTGTCATGCACGCTATCCAAAACAATTGGACAATGGCAAACTTTTAAAGTTAATGCATGTCCTGGTTATTGTCCTGTCCCCCTCAGCTTGTGCATTCTGACACTTGCTTGATGTCGCTGAGTCCTGTTTATTGAAAATAACATTTAATCCATGACTTGCCTGCTGCATTCTTGTTTGACCTGTTAACTGTTAAGCCAAAAAAATTATTTTAAGAATGGACTTGTCAAAGGGAGCATATCTCCTCCCTTCAAAGACCTCTGAGGATGAATATTTGATTAAAATGTGACTGCAGCATTAAAATGGATGCCCTGTGTCTTTTTGTAAATGAACGACTAGTGAACTTGTGGACTGTCTAGCTTTTAATTGGCAAATTATTCAGCAAGTGTTTCAGGGGGAATTGCAGGGGAGGGTGGGAAGGTAGTTGATTTTTAGATAAATTCATTACAACTTCTATTCCTACTGCTAGTTTGAAGATAATTAAATCCCAAGATAGATCTACAGACAGTTTAAATTTCCCCTCTGGAAATGTGCAATAAAACCCCAGGCCTGAGGTGGGCAACCCACAGCAAAAAAGGATGTTAGGCTTGTGGTCATCTTAGCTGTGACTGTACTCATGACCCATGCAGCTCCCACTCCAGCCTTTTCCTCTGTCTGCTTCTTTCTTTGAGCTCCAGTGAATGGCTGCTGATAAAATCTGCTCTCAAAAGGGCATGGAAACCAAATGCCTGCCTGTTTTAAATGCCTGCCTGTGTTTCTACTCTGATGGGTCACAAGGACAGCCAAATAATTAGGTATGCTTATGAGCTTTACAGAAGGCTCTAGGACAGTTAGTGCAGAGGGAAAAGAATGGATAGACATCCTGTACAGTTGCCTAAATGCACTGCTGGAACTCTAATGGAAAAGATCATGAAATGGGGTATCAGGACATGGAAAGTAGCATAGTTTGAATTAGTTAATTTGTTTGAAAGTTGTGATAGCAATTTGTGAAGAGAATACATGTAGACTGTCCCATTTGATGCGTATGAGTTCAGTGTTGCTATCTTTGTTTCTGTAAGTAATGTGATCCAATGTAACAGCACATGATAACTAGGTTGTAACACAAAAGGTTCTGGAAATAGTCCGAATGTGTTTCACACTGGGTCATTCTGGCACACTTGCTAAGATCATTGACTAATTTTCTTTTCTCAGTAGTTGTCTGCTATCAACTTAGCAGAAACAAAACAGCTCAAAATATTGTAAAAATTGAAGAACAAAGCCTGAAGGGTTACTGTTATTTTCAAAGAACGCTTTCAAACCAGAAAGCTTGGTAGAGGTGTGATATGCAGGCAACCTATAGAACCTAGGTTCTCCCTGCCCTGTGAACAGGCCAAAGGGTAGTGGTGCCAGCTCCAGTCAGATTCTTTTTAACATGCTCTGTGATCTGGAAGACAAACAATTAGAAATGGCTGGCTGATCTGGGTATTCATCTTTGTACAGTCAGAAACAAGACAGCACATACAAATTCAGGGTGGACAGGAGGGTCAATTGTTATTTTAGTTCTTCTTTCAGTAGAAAAAGACTCATTATTTTTATGAGAAGAAAGATTATACAAATCGATCTTGAATCACCTTTATGTTGTAGCAATACAGTTTTCTTTTCTGGCTGATGTTAATTAAATTGCTTCAGTGAGATGCTCTGAATTGTAGTAGGGAGTGGAATATACGCAGTATGTATGTATGCGTAATCTTTGTTTGCATTGAAAGATTGCTAAGGTGTTAGATATAAGATATAAAATATATATGTTAACATTGGAAAGCAAGCCAAGTGATCTTTTTTTTAATTTATTTTTTCTAGGAGTTTTATGGTGCTTTGATTATTTCTGCAAATGTCTACCTGGATATGGTCTTTTCTGGAAAAAAGAAAAAAAAAGCAGCTATTTTCTCAACTTACAAAGAAGCTGATTGCAATGTTCTCTCAATGTTTGCATTGCTGCTTTCTGGATATTCTTTTTTTTTTTTTTCTGTCTGCAGCAATTTCTGAAAGATTTAAATTTATTCATTAATCCCCGTCCACTGCAGGAACCTCCCCCCCCTCCATTTTTGCAGACCTGATGAAGATGATGACATGTTGGGCACAGGAATAGGAGCCACCACCTGGGCAGGCTGTATGCCTTCGTTAGGTTGAATGCTTTGTATTGTGGAGCCACTGCCTACAGCCATGGGCTGCATGGGAAGGTGTGAAGAGTTGAATGTAGTCTGCATTTGCACTGTCTTTTCAGGAAAGGAATCACAAGAAATGAGATTTATAGACAGAGTAACATCATGCATTGCCACTCAGTCTCATAAATGTCTACTGAGTTTTAAAACTGGATGTGTAGATGATTATCTACTGATGTGGACTAAGGTGTGAGAGAGAGGGAAGAGGGTGCAAGAGGAGGCCTGCAAGGGGATGGTGTTGAATAGCTACATCCACTATTGCTTGAACTTCTTGAAGTGTAAATTAGATATAGTTACACCTGAATGAAAGCTTAGCATTTGAGATCTTTGTTGATGTAAGCCTTACTATGTTAGGGGAAGAAGAACTTTTCAAAAAATACTGCTATAATTTTTATTTATAGTTACAAAAACTCTGTAAAAACACTTCCCTGCCTAACATTGAAGTCCTGGTGGTTTCATTCCAAGTGCAATCCTCTGTTAGGTCTCCCTGAGTTTATTCAGTACCTTTGACTTTACTAATATTAATGGTTTCTGTCACCTCTTAAAAGGATGCTGAACAGGTTTCCAGCAGTCTACAAAATCTATTTTGAATCACAATCACAGGATTGTCAGAAAGGTTTTTGAATCTGGGCTGACCTTGCCATTGGATAGCAATGCCCTAAAAACATAAACTGGCTGCCATTGTTGCTGTAGGTCTGCTCCTTGTGGAAATTTCTGGGATTAATCATATGACCTGTTAACGAGACATACAGTAGTACCTCATTTGCTTTAACAATTTGAAGTCAGTGTCAGCTGTATGTATTGCGTACATTCATAATTTAAATTATAATGGTATGCAGCAATAGCTCAGTGAAAATGTGTTTAGAAAAAATGTACATGGTAGATAAAATTTTTGGTCTAACTTAAATGTCCAGGCTGCAGGTATGTTGTGTTGAATTCAGACAGAATGGAGACCTGGGAGGAATATATAGTCCCCACTGCTGGTCAGTAATTATTTCAGTTGTAATGAAATTTAAATAAAAATTCCTGCTGGTGTCTCACTAATGGTCCTGGCCTTTCTCTGGGCAGAACACTTCCGAAATGCAGTTTGTTATAACAGTTTCACCAGCTTCCCTCCAGCTTGCTCACAATAGGAAAACTTAGTTTTCCAGTTAGCCAGAAGAGCCTTTTCAGTCCCAAGTTACCCTTGTGCCCAAGTTCCAATTTTTGTGCCTGCTTGCTTACCCTTAGCTGTATTCATCCCCCAGGGAGATGGTGCTGGCTTGCCAGACTGGAGTTGCCCTGAGCAGCCAGCATAATGGTTCAAATTAGGGCTGCTGTTCTCAGAAGCTGCCTCTGACACTGAGGGAAACAGAATTGGCCTAGTGCTTACCACACTGGAAAAAGCCATCCTCTTTGGAAAAAGCATTTTAATTCTGAATAAAACATTGGACTGGCTTTTACCTCATGAATAGCGCTTTATTCCACTTCAATAAATATCAGTACTGACAAGCAACTACATCGTGTCATGACCTTACGTAAGTGTATGGCAAGGTTCCAAGTTAATTTCCACAAATGCACCGGACAGGTTTTTGTAGGTATTTGACCCCTAGGTAGGCAGTGCTGCTGCAGACAGGGCCGGTAAAACAACCTGGCAAATATCCAAGCTCCATGGACTAGTCCTGGCTTCACAGACACCGCCAGGACCTCAGGTACTTTGTGCCCAGGCTCCTTAACATGGCTGAGTGCTGACAGACAGCTGAAGAGCTAGGATTTTGCACAAAGGTTTGAAAGGCAACGTTGCTCTTTGTTAATAGGGAAAGTTCAAGAGATTACAAGTGGCTGGAAGGCCACATCTTCTGGTAGTTTGAATCTAGCCTCTCATCCTACTTGTGCTCGCTCGTCCCCTGGGAAGTGATGTTTATGTGCAATGAGGGAAACCAGGAAACTACCTGCCTCAGCGGGCCTCCGATCCAGGCAGTCTGCTCAGTGCTCGAACAGCCTGAACGAAACACCGAGCTCTTCATCTCCTGCCACTTTATAGGCTTCTGACATTACTCTAAGATCATTCCCTGCCCAATCCCACCCGGCAGTTGCATGCCCTTATCAGGTTCTGTCATTGCAAACGTGAACTTCATCATGATTCCCTGGTTTGAGATTGCATTTCAATAGAGGATTATCTTCATTAAATAGCCCTCTTTTTGGAGTTGGAAGCTTGATAAAGTTCCTAACTTGACATGGAAACCCCAAGTTGTCATATACTTATTGTGGGATTATTAAGAGGGCCAATGGTTGGGTAACTGTGTCTCAAATGCTGAAATGTCTTTAAATTCTGTCCCCTGCGTCATTGAATGAGTGCTACATAGTTTCTGAAGTGTCTAAGCTGTTGCTATAAATGGAGTGTGGTTGCTTAAGCCATTCTGGTGCTTCGGGAAATTTTGTACCCTCAGCTTGTTTGCCAATTAAATAGGGAAGATGGTTGCAGATGCTTCGTGTAGGCTATCACTCAAAATATTAACACTAGAAAGTGTAGACGCCTGCCAGATTTCTCTTGGTATTTTCAATTTAGTGCAGGGAAAAATCAGGCTGAGGTTCATCATTTAGTGTTTGATAGAAGGCGCGCTCTCTGCTCTGTTTCTATATAGCAATCAAATCCCACATACTGTACTATATTCTGCCAGGAAATCCACTAACCTTTCATATAATATGTAGTGGGTTTTATAGCCAATGCTGCAGAGCTGTTTTCCATGCAGGAGGATTTTCAGCTATTTTTTTCTGCTGCTTTGGTAAGATTTGCAGTGGTTCTCTCTACAGTGCCAGATGTTGTACATAAAACAGGAAATTATATACCATTCTCTTGCTTATTGAACAGGAGAGAAGAATCTACTTTTAAAACCTAGCTGGGAGAGGTTGCTAGAAGTGCCAAGTTTAAAGAGGCAGATCAAGTGTGGGAGATGAGAAAGCAAGACAATACTCGCCTGAATGTGGCGGTGAATGCTAAATCTCATCTGAAGCACAGTTGATGTACTGACATTAAAGGGAATGTACTGAATATATAATCATTGTGGATATATGCATGGGGTTTTGCATTGTACGATAATCAAATGAGTAGTTCTTTGTACACAGATTT